AGAATTATTTTATTTAGCTTTATTTATTTATTTTAATTTGACTAGAGAGGGACAGAAAGAGAGAGAGAGAGAGAGAAAGCAAGCCACCAGGTCCAGGATTTGAACCGTGGTTGGCCATGTGGGAGCCCAGCGACCTTAACCACCACACCACCTGCCAACCCCCATGACTTTTAAAAATTTTTTTTAAAGGTTTTGTGGGTGGGTTGGTTGGTTTGTTTTCTCCACTGAGTGACTGCACTCATTGGAGAGAAAGAAAGAGAGAAATCACCACCTAGGGAGGATGGCCATGCCATAATCCCTTCTCTTCCATTCTCCTTTTGGGATTTTGGACATGCATACACATGTGCCTGGCCTGAGTTTCAAGTTGCCAGGTCCAGTACTCAAACCGTGGTTGACCACGTGGGAGTTCAGCACCTTAACCATGCCACCTGCTGGACTCAAATTATTTCTGTTTTACAAATGGACAGAACCTGGGGCCAGCTGGTGGCCTAGTTGTTAAGGCACTGGACTCCCATGTGGCTGACCATGGTTTGAGTCTGTGGACTGAAAATAACTAATTCTAAAAAATAAACAATTAATGCAGTTTATTTCCAAGCAGAATTTGAGTGACCTAGGCCTGGAGAGACGAGGAGGCAAACATGCCTTTCTCAGGGTGATCAGGTACAGGGGTTCCTTTTATTTGATTTTGAGAGTGACCCACAAAATTAGTGAAGAAATTTCCATTTGTCTGGCTCAGAAAGGCAGGACATGTGGAAGCGGGAGTATGTAGGTTACAGGTGGGTTCCACAATTTTTAGGTTGGTGATTGGAAGGGGAGATGAGTGTCCTGTGAAGAGATTCCTAAAAGAAATGCTTCATCTACATCTCAAAGAAAAGGGAAGTTCTGTGTCTTGGGAAGAGATAAGCAAAAGAGTGTACTGTAATGGGTTGCAATATACATCTCAAAGGTACTATGCCAGGGACAGGATGTGGGGCTGTGTCTTGGGAAGAGATAAGCAAAAGAGTGTACTGTAATGGGTTGCAATATACATCTCAAAGGTACTATGCCAGGGACAGGATGTGGGGAGAATCCTGTTAATGGGAAAAATGGTCTGTTAATGTTTGTGGGTGTGACTCCGCTAGGCCTGGTCTGTTAATGTTTGTGAGTGTGACTCCGCTAGGCCCTCTAGAAAGGTCTTTGGAAAAATAGGAAAAAGCAGTTAGACATCTGTCCACAAGTTCCAGACCCCCGTTGGCTTGAAACTCACATGAAGCCTGTTTGCCTGCGTTCCCAAAATCCCAAGAGGAGAGTGGAGGAGAAGGGATTGTGGTGCGTCCTCCCCCCCCACCCCCAGGGGGGTGATTTCTCACTTTCTCTCTCTCTCTTTGTCTCTGCAGTAAGCACACATGGCCTATAGCCAAAAAAAAAAAAAAAAAAAACCAAAAAACGAAAGAGTTCAGTCGTACACTATTCACATGCCTGTGTTTCTGCTTGTGTAGACCACCCCTCTGAGGTGCCAGAGAAGCTCATCCAGGACCGGTTCCGGAAGCTGGGCCGCTTCCCTGAAGCCTTTAGTTCCATTCACTACAAGGGAACAAGGACTTACAACCCTCCCACAGACTTCTCTGGGCTTCGGCGTGCTTTGGAGCAGCAACTGGAGAACAACACTACCCGTTCTCCACGGCACCCAGGGGTCATCTTCAAAGCTCTGAAGGTCAGTTGTCTCTTGCCTCCAGTGCCTCTCACTGGGGTGCCAGTGGGCGGTGAGAACACCCAGAGCTTTTTTGGTGCTGGTAATTGGAAATCTGGGCTGGAAAAGAGCAGAAGCGCCTGAGTGGAGTTTGTACCTGTCAGATGTTTTCATCTTGCTAGGAGCTCAAGTACAGGGAGTCTTAGGTGATAGTAAAAAAGTGACTGGTCCTCTTCTGGGAGAAAAACTAGGCCTTTGGACAGTAGGAAAAAGCTTTTATTTCTGGGGCATTTGGTTCAGCTTTGGTGATTTGACCTCGTGTTGGGGCTCAATCTAGACAGTTCTTATACTTTTCTTTATATTGACACATTCTTTTTTTCCTTATCGAAATGAATTTATTCACGGAGGGCCAGTTTCAAGTTGCAGCAGTAATGTGCTGCTCAAGCTGGATCCACATGGTGACTGTGGTTCAAGTTCCCAGCTTGGTCAGCCTGAAACTCACTGGGTGCGATTTGACAGGCCCGAGGCCTGGAAGAAGGGCATGGCAGTGTCACAGACCCTGTGGAGGGTGTTCATCTCTCTTTTTATTTCTCTGTCTCACTCTCATGAATAAAGAAAAAGTTAAAAAGGGAAACTTTTTGTAATGGAAAACTGTGTCACAGGTAGAAAATTACCATGACGACAAGCAAAACTACAGCAATAATGATGTACCAAAATACACAGTTCTGTATATGGATTAGTTCATTTAATCTTTTTTAAAAAATTGTTTATTTACTTTTATTTATTCACTCATTTATTTTAATTTGACCAGAGAGAGACACAGAGGAGGAAAGAGAGGAAGCCACCAGGTCTGAGACTGGAACTGTGGTCGGTCATGTGGGAGAGTGTCCAGCACCTTAACTACCACGCCACCTGCTGGTTCCAGTTCATTTAATCTTAACACTAACTTCAGTTCAATGCTTTTGTCACCCTCATTTTGCACATGAGGAAACTGTGGCAAGAGAGATGAAGTAATTGTTTGTTACATAGTTACGATGTGGTAAAAAGCATAAACCCTGGCCATTTTACTCTAGAGCTTATAACCAGGAAGGCTCTACTATCCCTTGTGTTTTCTTTTCTTTTCTTTTTTTTTTTAATTGCCAGAACATACATGTGCTCATCAGAGACAGCCAGACAAAGGTAAGGGGAGAAAATTCCCCCTAGTGGAGTGTGGTGATGCTCTGATCCCTTTTCCTGTTTCTACATCCCGTTGGAAACTGGGGTGCACATTTACATGTGCCCAGCATTCAAATGTTGCTATAGGACGTGTGTACTCCCCAGAGACAGCCAAGCAGAAGTAAGGGGAGAGACAGAGAGAGCGGGAAGGAAAATGAGAAAACATCCCCCCACCCCCCAAGGAATGACCGTGCCACAATCCCTTCTCCATTTTTCTCTCGGGATTTTGGGTGTGCATCCACACATGTCCTGGCATGTTTCTCAAGGCGCCAGGTCCAGGATTTGAATCGCAAAGTTGTCCATGTGGGATTCACAGCCTTCTTAACCACCACACTGCCATCTGGCCCAACCCGGAGTGTTTTTTAAGCTACTGGGGCCAAGATTCAAATTGCTATTAGACATTCGGGCTTTGGCTCCCTTAACCACCAGGCTTACAGGACTGGCCCTGGTCCTGCTGCCTTCTGCTAAATAAAATAGCATACCATTTTTTTAGCTAGAGACTGTTGCTTGTGGAAGGTTCTGGGATAAGGGCCTGTTTTTTCTTCATTTAAAGGGGAGATTAGTAGTCCAGCGAGGTGGCGTTGATTAGATTCAGCATGGCTGACTGTGTGGTTTGAGTCCTGGTAGCTTAAAGAACATGCCAGTTGTGTGTGCATATGTGCCCAAAATTCCAGGAGGAAAAGGGATTGTGGCATGGCCATTCCCTTTGGGAGGTGATTTCTCACTCTGTGTTCTCTTTCTCTCTCTCTCTCTGGTGAGCACATGCACCCTATAGCAAGAAAAAAAAAGATAAATTATATATGAAAGGAACAGACTTACTTGGTTCTAGGCTGTTCCAGAACGAGCCCTACCCCATGGAGGCCCATCTTTAGGGAAACTCATCTCTAAGCATCATATCTTTCTCTTAATATAGGTAAATTTCCCTCTGTATCTGGCAGTGGTATCAATGTAATGTTTTGATTGAAAAGCGAAATTAGTAAGCAGTTTGTTCCACAGATTCATTTCCCCATAGTGTGCCCTAATGGGTGGTGTTTACATCTTTGTATCACAGACAGCCTGCCACGTGGCTGGGCTGCCAGACACACACACACACACACACACAGAGGGAGGGAGAAAGTGAGAAAGCAAGCTGCCAGGTCCAGGACCCGAACCATGGTCAGCCATGTGGGAGTCCAGTGCCTTAACCATCATGCCACCTGCCAGCAACCTCCTCAGTGAATTTTTTAAAGGTTATTTACATAATGACTGAGAGAGAGTAAGAGTGACAGGTACCCCAACAGGGCCTTTATGCCATGATCTATCCCAGGCCTCAGCCATCCTTTGATCATGGTCATACATATGTGCCCAGACTACTTGAGGATGACTCTGGAGGTGAACCTTCCTATGTGGGTCAGCCCTGTGTTACCACTGTGCCACCATCCAGTCTCCTCAATGAAAAAATTTTTTATGCCGGAGGGTGGATATACACACGTGAGAGTGAGAAGGCATCCCCCAGTGGGGCCTGGTTATGTCACAGTTCTTTTTCCTCCAATTTTCCACTATGTCAGTGTCTTTGGGCACATGTACACATGTGCCTGGCATATTATTCAAGCCACTGGGGCCATGACTCGAACCCTGGTCAGCTATGTGGGATCCTGCTGCTGCTGTGTGGCACTTAACCACTGCATTACAGGGACTGGTCCTCGATGAACGTTTGATGCCTTGTCATGCATGCATTGCTCAAAGCATTACCTGGGTCCACAAAAGCTGGAAAAAGTATGGAAAACAAAAGAAATTTGAAAGTTGTTGATAACATTATGGGAGTAATTCTAATTTTAGCACAGTTTGTTCAATGATTGATTTATATTGCATTTGTTTAAAATTGCATCCTCTGAGAATATGGGCTAAGTGTAGAAAAGGGAGCTACCACAGTACAGTATAACAACTCAGAGACCATCTGTGAGCACTCCCTAGGGATAACCTCCCTTCACATTTTTTTTTCCTGATAGAGGGTGTTCATGCTCACTGGAGATGGACAGAAGCAGAGTGGAAGAGTGGGAAAGCACTCCCGCCCTCATGGGGAGTTGTCATGCAGTGAATCCTTTCACTACTTCTCCTTCTTTTGGGATGTTAGGCACTCCTGTACACGCATCTAATATGTTTCTCAGGTTGCCCTGTCTGGGACTTGAACAGCAGGGATTGGGCATGTGAGATTCAGCTGCCTTGCCCACAAAGCCATTGAGCAATCTTACCACTGTTAACATTTTAGTATGTACCCTTACAATGTATATTCTGTGTATTAAAAAAAAAAAATATATATATATGTAAAACAACTTGAACTGCAGTTGACCATGTGGGAGTCTAGTGATATAACCATTACGCCATCTGCTGGTCCCAACACTTTATTACTATATAGTCTTTTTTATAAATAGTTCTGGTAGATGCATGATACTTCATTGTTTAAATGTACTAAAGTAGTAAATTGTTGGACAATATTGTGAATAGATTTTCTCCATAACTAACACCACAACTAAATATCCTAAAAGCTCTTTATAGGGGCCAGCAGGTGGCATGGTAGTTGAAGCGCTGGACTCCCATATCACAGACCATGGTTCGAGTCCTGTACCTGGAGGCTCATTTTCTCAGTTTCCCTCTCTCTCTCTCTGGTGAGCACACGTCCCCTGTAGAACATTAAATATGATAATAATAAGTAAAATTAAGTAATTCTTTAAGAAAAAACCCTCTATACGTGGAATTATTTTCCTGGATTATAAAAGATTGTATCAGGAGGGTATGACTAAATATATATATGTATGCGCGTGCACACACACACACGCACGCGCGCGCAGACCAGTAGGTTGTGTGGTGGCTAGGGCGCTAGACATTCCTACATTGCCAACCATGGTTCGAGTCCTGGTCTTGGTGGCTTGTTTTCTCACTTTCTCTCTCTCTTTCTCTCTGTCTCTCTCTGGTCAAATTAAAATAAATGAATAAATAAAAAAATACACACGGGTACTTCAAAAGTTTGTGGAAAAGTAGACATAAAGTAGGTTTATTTTAGTACAAAAGTGTTGAAATTTATGCATAATTTTTTGATAATAAGCATTTTCCATGAACTCTTTGAAGCCTCCATGTGTATTTAATGTGTATATACTGTTAATATATTTATTAACAGTCAACATCGGGACCAGCATGTAACCACACTACCATGGTGGTAGCTGGACTCCCACATGGCCCACTGTGGTTTTGAGTCCTGGACTCAGAGGCTTCAAACTCATGCTGTGTGTGTGGGCATGTGCTTGTGCGTGCTGGCCCCCCCAAAAAACATGCCCAAAATCCCAAAAGGAGAGTGGAGAGAAGAGATTGCAGCATGACAATTCCCTCTGGGGGGTGATTTCTCACTTTCTGTCTCTTTGGTGAGCACACACTCCCTATAGTTAAAAATGTCTCTAAAAAACCAAAAAAACAGTAAATATCGATCACCATTTTATCATTCGACATAGCTGGATATATAATCCTATTTAAGAATTTTTGGTGCCTTTTTCTGTTTTGCCTGTTCCTAGTGTTTTCAGGATTTTATTTCAGCGTAACCTCTTTAAAAAAAAAGATTTATTTAATTTTACAATGTTAAAATTTGCCATAGGGCATGTGTGCTCACCAGAGAAAAACAGTAGGATAGAGTGGAAGAGAAGTGAGAAAGCAAGCCACCAGTTCTGGAACTTGAACCACGGTCAGCCATGTGGGAATCCAGTGCCTTAATCATCAGGCCACCTGCTGCCCCAGCACAATCTCTTAACTGTGCATTTCTTTAATTCATGAGTTATCAGATT